TCCTCTTACCTCCTCTGGGAGTGTGAATACAGACACATAGTGTCTGCGCTGACGCCTATTGGCCTAGTGGAAGGTGTAAATAAAGCCTGTCACCTCTAGAAAGGAAGAGGATGACAAGGCCAAGAGTTATATTTAGCTGGTTGAAGCTTTGCAGATGGGAATTAATACAATCGAGCAGACACATTATTTTATGATGAGGAGTTGCAATGGTCTGAACAAGGGCCTAAAATTAATATCCGCCACCCGCCAAATGCGGGTAGATTTTAGCGTTAGCGAAAATCAGGGCTTCACAGTGCGAGCATTTCACTCGCATTTGTGAATAAAATAGTCAAGTATGATGACATTTACAGTGGCTTGCGAAAGTATTCACCCCCCTTGGCATTTTTCCTATTTTGTTGCCTAACAACCTGGAATTAAAAGGGATTTTTTGGGGGTTTGTATAATTTGATTTACACAACATGCCTACCACTTTGAAGATGCAAAATATCTTTACCACATATTCTCAATTGGATTGAGGTCTGGGCTTTGACTAGGCCATCCCAAGACATTTAAATGTTTCCTCTTAAACCACTCGAGTGTTGCTTTAGCAGTATGCTTAGGGTCATTGTCCAGCTGGAAGGTGAACCTCCGTCTCAAATCTCTGGAAGACAAACAGGTTTCCCTCAAGAATTTCCCTGTATTTAGCGCCATCCATCATTCCTTCAATTCTGACCAGTTTCCCAGTCCCTGCCGATGAAAAACATCCCCAAAGCATGATGCTGCCACCACCATGCTTCACTGTGGGGATGGTGTTCTCGGGGTGATGAGAAGTGTTGGGTTTGCCCCAGACATAACGTTTTCCTTGATGGCCAAAAAGCTCAATTTTAGTAATAATAATAATAATAATATGCCATTTAGCAGACGCTTTTATCCAAAGCGACTTACAGTCATGCGTGCATACATTTTTTTTGTGTATGGGTGGTCCCGGGGATCGAACCCACTACCTTGGCGTTACAAGCGCCGTGCTCTACCAGCTGAGCTACAGAGGACCACATTAGTCTCATCTGACCAGAGTACCTTCTTCCATATGTTTGGGGAGTCTCCCACATGCCTTTTGGCAAACACCAAATGTGTTTGCTTATTTTTTTCTTTAAGCAATGGCTTTTTTCTGTCCACTCTTCCGTAAAGCCCAGCTCTGTGGAGTGTACGGCTTAAAGTGGTCCTATGGACAGATACTCCAATCTCTGCTGTGGAGCTTTGCAGCTCCTTCAGGGTTGTCTTTGGTGTCTTTGTTGCCTCTCTGATTAATGCCCTCCTTGCCTGGTCCGTGAGTTTTGGTGGGCGGCCCTCTCTTGGCAGGTTTGTTGTGGTGCCATGTTCTTTTCATTTTTTAATAATGGATTTAATGGTGCTCCATGGGATGTTCAAAGTTTCTGATATTTTTTTATAACCCAACCCTGATCTGTACTTCTCCACAACCTTGTCCCTGACCTGTTTGGAGAGCTCCATGGTGCCGCTTGCTTGGTGGTGCCCCTTGCTTAGTGGTTTGCAGACTCTGGGGCCTTTCAGAACAGGTGTACAGTGGGGAGAACAAGTATTTGATACACTGCCGATTTTGCAGGTTTTCCTACTTACAAAGCATGTAGAGGTCTGTACATTTTATCATAGGTACACTTCAACTGTGAGAGTGAGACACTTCAACTGAAAATCCAGAAAATCACATTGTATGATTTTTAAGTAATTAATTTGCATTTTATTGCATGACATAAGTATTTGATACATCAGAAAAGCAGAACTTAATATTTGGTACAGAAACCTTTGTTTGCAATTACAGAGATCATAAGTTTCCTGTAGGTCTTGACCAGGTTTGCACACACTGCAGCAGGGATTTTGGCCCACTCCTCCATACAGACCTTCTCCAGATCATTCAGGTTTCGGGGCTGTCGCTGGGCAATACAGACTTTCAGCTCCCTCCAAAGATTTTCTATTGGGTTCAGGTCTGGAGACTGGCTAGGCCACTCCAGGACCTTGAGATGCTTCTTACGGAGCCACTCCTTAGTTGCCCTGGCTGTGTGTTTCGGGTCGTTGTCATGCTGGAAGACCCAGCCACGACCCATCTTCAATGCTCTTACTGAGGGAAGGAGGTTGTTGGCCAAGATCTCTCGATACATGGCCCCATCCATCCTCCCCTCAATACGGTGCAGTCGTCCTGTCCCCTTTGCAGAAAAGCATCCCCAAAGAATGATGTTTCCACCTCCATGCTTCACGGTTGGGATGGTGTTCTTGGGGTTGTACTCATCCTTCTTCTTCCTCCAAACACGGCGAATGGAGTTTTGACCAAAAAGCTCTATTTTTGTCTCATCAGACCACATGACCTTCTCCCATTCCTCCTCTGGATCATCCAGATGGTCATTGGCAAACTTCAGATGGGCCTGGACATGCGCTGGCTTGAGCAGGGGGACCTTGCGTGCGCTGCAGGATTTTAATCCATGACGGCGTAGTGTGTTACTAATGGTTTTCTTTGAGACTGTGGTCCCAGCTCTCTTCAGGTCATTGACCAGGTCCTGCCGTGTAGTCCTGGCTGATCCCTCACCTTCCTCATGATCATTGATGCCCCACGAGGTGAGATCTTGCATGGAGCCCCAGACCGAGGGTGATTGACCATCATCTTGAACTTCTTCCATTTTCTAATAATTGCGCCAACAGTTGTTGCCTTCTCACCAAGCTGCTTGCCTATTGTCCTGTAGCCCATCCCAGCCTTGTGCAGGTCTACAATTGTATCCCTGATGTCCTTACACATCTCTCTGGTCTTGGCCATTGTGGAGAGGTTGGAGTCTGTTTATTGAGTGTGTGGACAGGTGTCTTTTATACAGGTAACGAGTTCAAACAGGTGCAGTTAATACAGGTAATGAGTGGAGAACAGGAGGGCTTCTTAAAGAAAAACTAACAGGTCTGTGAGAGCCGGAATTCTTACTGGTTGGTAGGTGATCAAATACATATGTCATGCAATAAAATGCAAATTAATTACTTTAAAATCATACAATGTGATTTTCTGGATTTTTGTTTTAGATTCCGTCTCTCACAGTTGAAGTGTACCTATGATAAAAAAATTACAGACCTCTACATGCTTTGTAAGTAGGAAAACCTGCAAAATCGGCAGTGTATCAAATACTTGTTCTCCCCACTGTATATATACTGAGATCATGTGACAGATCATGTGACACTTAGATTGCACACAGGTGGGCTTTATTTAACTAATTATGTGACTTCTGAAGGTAATTGGTTGCACCAGATCTTATTTAGGGGCTTCATAGCAAAGGGGGTGAATACATGTGCACGCACCTCTTTTCCGTTATTTAGAATTTTTTGAAACAAGTAATTTTTTTTATTTCACTTCACCAATTTGGACTATTTTGTGTATGTCCATTACATTAAATCCAAATAAAAATCTGTTTAAATTACAGGTTATAATGCAACAAAATAGGAAAAACACCAAGGGTGATGAATACTTTTGCAAGGCACTGTATAGTAAAAAAAATGCTGCAGTAGCAGTTTTCAAAGTATTTCTGATGTTTTGTTTCATAGCTGGTAACTTAATCGCACAAAGTCAAAGAACTTTGAATCCTATACAGCCTGTCCCACTTTGCGCTGCAACACTGCCTGGCGTGAAGAGCTGTGAAAGATTCATTTTTAGAAGCGCTGCGCACAGGCATAAAAGTTGGTCTAATTTACTTGAAACGAAAGTCTACTGAAGTGAGACTTTGTCCTTGTGTTTCTTGGCTATTTACATTGTTTTGTTCACAAGCTAGGTTGTTTTTCAATGTTTGAGTTTCAACTGTTAGGGAAGTGTCACGTGAATTTCTATCTCTAATTCAACCTAAGCTTGAATCATTACCAGAGGTTGTAAAGCTCTGGTTTTAATCATCAATGATTCAAGGTCCACAATCCACAAGTAATTATCGGTATATTTATTAATGGAGAGCTCTGGCGCTAAAAACACATACATACTGGTTTTATACTTCTTGACAAACAAAGGCACTATGCTCCTCCCACCTTTAGGTGGCTTTCTTAAACAGTTTCCGCCTTCCCCCTTGAATGGTTAGTACCGCCCCCTCTGTTAGTGGGTTGACACTACATGATAATTCTAACATTTATACTGTGTTTGGGGTGAAATCTTTTAGTCATTATTCTTAAAATCCAAATTAATCTAACAGGAAGAGAAGACAACGCAGCTAAAAGTCATACTCGGCAGGTAGCTTAGTGGGTAAGAGCGTTGGGCCAGTAACCGAAAGGTCGCTGGTTCTAATCCCCGAGCCGACTAGGTGAAAAATCTGTCGATGTGCCCTTAAGCAAGGCACTTAACCCTAATTGCTCCTGTAAGTCGCTCTGGATAAGAGCGTCTGCTAAATGACTAAAATGTAAAATGTAAATGTAATACTCAATCTCACAGGCACAAACATGACCCAAGTCACATTACCACGGTAACCTCCCGCTCTTAAAGGAGCAGGTGAAAATTTGTCTGATCTGTGATATTTTGGTTAAAAGACTCAGGTCACAAAAAATGAAATTAAACAATATACCACATCACTTCTTACTAGTCATACATTTATTGTTTTAGAAACATTTGTATTGTTTTGTTGGTGTAATTTTAGCAAAACAATTTATTTTGGCTGGTAAGAAAACTGAGTGGCTGGTAGATTATTTTTTTTTATCTACCTGCCACAGTGGCGGTGGACCAAAAAGTTAATTTTAGGCCCTGGTCTGAACTGACAATGGGTATCATTGGGCAGGCTTTTGTTCAAGCCCAGCAATAACTACAATTCAAGTAATCAAGTAATCATGGTCTTCAAATTCGCCAATTTTGATTACTGTGTTAGAGCTGGGTTGGAACAAAAGCCTGCACACACTGCAGTCTGTCAGCACTAGAGTTGCCCATCCCTGAACCTTAGCCCCTGTCAACATGCCAAGTGAAACAAATGAATGAGGGAACTGATGGATAGATGAATGAAGGGATGAAGTGAATGAGTGTCGAGGACAAAGGAGAGCAGGTATAGGATGAATGGTGCATTGTGGGAAGGCCATATCGCGTGTCGGAGTGATGCAGCGTGGGTATTCTGTTACAGACCGGGTCAGAGGGCATGCATTAATAAGTCATATAGCTTCTGTAAGCTACGGACCGGTGGCTATGTAGCATAGGTAGGAGGAAGAACATTAACGTTCTGGATGATGAAACTGTGTGTGTGTCTGTGCTCTCTGTGTGTGGTGTCGTTCCCCACTCCCAAAGTGATAGAAGGCAGTTTTAAGCATCTGTGATAAGGACCATGACACATGACACTGGTCTATTTGTTGTTATGTCAGCCTGTGGCCCTATGGCCCTGGGAACAGACCTGGCTGCTACTCCCATTGACACCAGCTGTCTGATGCGCAGATTACAGCAGTGGGCTGTAGAGAATGTGTGGAAAGATGGGTAGAAGAATGGAGGTACACTACCGTTCAAAAGTTTGGGGACACTTAGAAATGTCCTTGTTTTCGAAAGAAAAGCAAATTTTTTATCCATTAAAATAACATCAAATTGATCAGAAATACAGTGTAGACATTGCTAATGTTGTAAATGGCTATTGTAGCTGGAAACGGCAGATTTTTAATGGCATATCTACATAGGCGTACAGAGGCCCATTACCAGCAACCATCAGTCCTGTGTTCCAATGGCATGTTGTGTTTGCTAATCCAAGTATATCATTTTAAAAGGCTAATTGATCATTAGAAAACCCTTTTGCAATTATGTTAGCACAGCTGAAAACTGTTGTACTGATTAAAGAAGCAATAAAACTGGCCTTCTTGAGACTAGTTGAGTCTCTGGAGCATCAGCAATTGTAGGTTCGATTACAGGCTCAAAATGGCCAGAAACAAATAGCTTTCTTCTGAAACTCGTCAGTCTATTCTTGTTCTGATAAATGAAGGCTATTCCATGCGAGAAATTGCCAAGAAACTGAGAAGGGTTCTGTGAAGGGAGTAGTACACAGCGTTGTACGAGATCTTCAGTTTCTTGGCAATTTCTCGCATGTAATAGCCTTCATTTCTCAGAACAAGAATAGACTGACGCGTTTCAGAAGGAAGTTCTTTGTTTCTGGCCATTTTGAGCCTGTAACCCACAATTGCTGATGCTCCAGATACTCAACTAGTCTCAAGAAGGCCAGTTTTATTGCTTCTTTAATCAGTACAACAGTTTTCAGCTGTGCTAACATAATTGCAAAAGGGTTTTCTAATGATCAATTAGCCTTTTAAAATGATAAACTTGGATTAGCAAACACAACGTGCCATTGGAACACAGGACTGATGGTTGCTGATAATGGGCCTCTGTTCGCCTATGTAGATATGCCATTCAAAATCTGCAGTTTCCAGCTACAATAGCCATTTACAGCATTATCAATGTCTACACTGTATTTCTGATCAATTTGATGTTATTTTAATGCACAAAACAATTGTTTTTCTTTCGAAAACAAGGACATTTCTAAGTGACCCCAAACTTTTGAACGGTAGTGTATATTACATTTACATTTTAGTCATTTAGCAGACGCTCTTATCTAGAGCGACTTACAGTTAGTGAGTGCATACATTTTTCATACTGGCCCCCCGTGGGAATCGAACCCACAACCCTGGCGTTGCAAGCGCCATGCTCTACCAACTGAGCTAAAGGAGGACTATATTTTTGTAGTGTAGTTCTATTACTGTATGCAGAGAGAGGCAGTGTGTGTGTATAATTTAGTGGTGTGGGATTAGGTCATGGACAGCTAGGGTGTCGTGTCTGAGATGAGACCCACACCACACGGTCCACACCACAACAACACAGCAGCCAGTAAGTGACAGCTGAGCGAGGGAGGGGCTTACTGGACCAGGTGGCAGACTGGCCAGAAAACAACATAAAGGCTCTCTGACATCATATCCACTATTCTATTCTTATCCCATTATTCCATTCTCATACTTCTATTCTAGTTATCCGGTACGTTAATCTATTCATATCTGTAGCCCTTTCACTACAGGAACACCTTATGTAACCAGAACCATGCCTAACCCGCCTAGGCATACACACACACAGACAGACAACAGTCAACAACAGTATCAGGGAGAACAATTGCATACTAGAAATTGTGTATTTTACATGGCGTCAATAGCCCCTGGAAAGAAAGTCTGCAGTGAAGTGACTAGCCAGTGTTTGCAGTAGGCCTATTTCTTTAAGATGGCATCCCCATTGTTAGGGTGTTTCCATAGTTCCACAGCAGGATGTGTGACTTGTCTCCTGGGTAGGAGCTAGGCCCAGATGTTAGGCGAAGTCTATATCCCCTCTCTATTGGAGAATGGATACCTCAGCACTAAGGTCATGTCTAATTTTGTGGGACTGACTGAGTAGTCTCCCTTTATCTTGCCTTTTCTCCCTCGAACACACTCTCTCTCTCTCTCCGTCTCTCTCTTTCTCTCTCTAACTACTCTCTCCCTCCTCTCTATCTAACTCTTTCTCTCCCTCCGTCACACACACTCAGCATACCGTTTGTTGGCTGATGTAAACCACTCAGGTCCCTTGAGGCATGCTGTTGATTACTGTGTGTGTATGCTTGCCTGCGTGCATGCATGCGTGTGGCATGTGTGTGAGAGAGCGCCCATACAGACACATTGAGATATTAACATATGAGTGAGTGTATGTAGTCTTCCAGTAAGCAAAATTAAGTGAAAATACGTCTAAAAGATGTCTTTCCAGACGTTTAAATCGGGTTGATTTATTCATTTTCAGTTCTGAATGTTAAGAAGACTTAATTTACAGAAATTGAAAATACGTATTTTTTGGTCATTGATTCTATGGCTAAATATCAACTGCACATACATTCATACTGAAGTAAGCATTATATCACGATTTTTTTAATCCATTTAATATAGGGAAGTGGAGCAAACTGAAGATTGCAACATAGAATATTTGTTATTGCTCCCATCTGTCACATGCACTTATGTTAGCTTTCTTAAAAGCTTTACAACTGTCTCTGACCCTTTTTTTCAATTATCGCCTAAAAGGACATACCCAATTCTAACTGCCTGTAGCTCAGGACCTGAAGCAAGGATATGCATATTCTTGATACCATTTGAAAGGAAACACTTAGAAGTTTGTGGAAATGTGAAATTAATGTAGGAGAATATAACACATTAGATCTGGTAAAAGATAATTCCATCATCTTTGAAATGTAAGAGAAAGTCCACAATATAATATGGCAGTTTAGAAGCAATTTAGATTTTGGCCACTAGATGGCAGCAGTGTGCGTGCAAAATTTCAGATTGAGCCAGTGAAGCATTACAATACGGGACTATTTTGTATCAAGTCGGCCCAAATGTGCCGAATTGGTCAATTGATACATTTTCAAGTACATAACTATAGAGAACATACAAAAATGATATGGTAATACAAAATGTAAGTTTACACACTCCCAGGAATGTCATACATGATGGCTCATTAGCTTATACACTAACTTTCACATATCTAGATGGCCGAGTGGGGTGGGTGTGGAGCCAGAGACAGCAGGGGTTCAAACTGTAGAACCCAGTTCCTACATTTGAATATAAAAATGTATTTTATCAAACAAAACTATGCTACATTTTATCTCTCGGACCCTTAAGATGACAAATTAGAGCAAGATTACTGAATGTAAGTACATGATTTTTCATCAGAGGTGAATGTATCAAACTAGTTGCCGTGATACGTTTTTTGTTGGTGTGCACTATCCTCAAACAATAGCATGGTATTTTTTCACTGTAATAGCTACTGTAAATTGGACAGTGCAGTTAGATTAACAAGAGTTAAAGCTTTCTGCCCATATAAGACATGTCTATGTCCTGGAAAGTTTGCTGTTACTTACAACAGTCATGCTAATCACATTAGCGCACGTTTGCTCAACCGTCCCATATACGGGACACCGATCCCGTAGAGGTTAAATCCTCAATTAATCACTATTTGTATGGTCTTAATTTCTCGATGTATCAATGTGCGATAGTTTGACTTTCATTTATTAATCCAATCCCTTTGTTTTATACTGCTGGACGGGCACACCATATTTCCCTCTGGGATAATATATGAATAAAAATGATTGATTTGACCTTTGCGTAACCCCTATTGACCTTTGTCCCCTCTGTCAGATCTCCTTGGCTACGGAGCGTCTGGGGCCTCGTCGTGTGGAGGGGCTGAGGAGGGAGGATGAGGAGTGGACGAGGAAGGCTCACGCTGCCGTCCTCTCCATACAGGACCTTACCGTCAAGTTCTTTGAGACTACCGCCAGGGCTCAGAAAGGTACATTTACATTTACATTTTAGTCATTTAGCAGACGCTCTTATCCAGAGCGACTTACAGTTAGCACATACATTATTTTATCAAACCCACAACCCTGGCGTTGCAAACGCCATGCTCTACCAACTGAGCTACATCCCCTGCCGGCCATTCCCTCCCCTACCCTGGACGACGCTGGGCCAATTGTATGCCGCCCCATGGGTCTCCCGGTCGCGGCCGGCTACGACAGAGCCTGGATTCGAACCAGGATCTCTAGTGGCACAGCTAGCACTGCGATGCAGTGCCTTAGACCACTGCGCCACTCGGGAGAGTACACACGCACACACACACACACACTCACACACACACATAAAGCCTTTTCACACTGGCATTGTTCTTAGCCCCGGGATATCTTAGCTCCAGGCTAGACTGGCCCTGGGCTAGCTTAGCCTGTGTTCACACAAGCATTTGTTAACCCTGGGCTAAGCTTTAGCCCTGGGCTAAGGATTCACACTTGAATTCCAAAGCCCTGGGCTAACGGACAAACACAACATGCGACCAACATCTCCGACACATGATCCAATATTATAAGCAATAAGTCATTTATTAACACAATATTTCCCTGTGCTTCTGGCCTAGCTTTTGATTTCCGACAATGATGGTTTGTATAAACATTGCTGTCTGCCTGTCCGACATCGGAAACAATGTTTCACTTTTTAAATTATATCTCGCCCCTGTACAGAGAATGCAGTGAACGAACGAGACATCAACTTTTCTGATCCAGGCGAAATCATGCAACAATATTATTATCATAGATATATGCAATTAAATGTCAATAGAAAAGCTATGAAAACAGAGGAAAATTGAGTGTTTGCTGCCCTTCTAGCTGTAGAGTTTGTAGCTTTAGTTGGCTAAGTGAGAAGACCTTAGCCAGCCTGCATAGCAACCATTTTTGTTAGGCAAAATGTTAGGATTAAATAGTATGAATTTACTTCTCATAATAACGTGCAGAACGTATTACAGGCTTCACGAGCAAATGTAAATTAAGTGGAAGTTTCGCTTTTGTGATTGGACAGTGATCATTCTAGGTGTTGTTCTTGACCTAGTTTCACACTTGCTAGTTTGGCACTGTTTTTCTGGGGCTAACCCCGAAAAGTCGATGCTAACCCTGCTCCGAAGCAGGACCAGCTAGCCCTGGGCTAAGGTTGGTGCTAGCCCACCTTGGAATGTGCAAGTGTGAACACTCGCTTAGCCCCGAGCTAAAATCTCCCTTAGCCCTGGGCTAAGGTGTGAACGCGCCTATAGAGAAACACACAGAGAAACACATAAACACACACAAACTCTGTACAGACAAACTCCAGAGCCATGAATTATCCACATAGCAGATCAGCCCATTAACCAACACTCACGCAGTCAGACCATAATCTCCAGGCTTTAAACTGCTCTCCCAGAATCCCCAAACTAACCATAACCCAACTATCCACTGGCCCCACACTGACTACAAACTCTATAACTATCCCCCAAAATGTTTTTATCTCCAGTAAAAAACTTCTAGCCATTGGCTGCTAACAGCTGAGAACTGCTAGCTAACTGGCAAGCGCAAAAACAACTTAGGCAGGACAGTCCCCTAGAAATCGGAAGATCTCCCTCTAGTGGTGAAAGTAAGAACTGCCGAAAATGCACAGTCAGAAGAGAATAAGTATTCTGTTAATTAAATGTTTTGTAAAAGAAAAATAATAGAGGCATACTAAGACAAAATAAATGTGACACGGTGTGTAAATGATAACACATTAGTGCAGGAAATGAAGAAATTGATTAAAATGCTGGAAGTGAATGCTGGAATAAAACTATTAACTATGCAAATAAGCAAAAGCTGTGTGCACAAAGGAAATAGACGCCTGGCTCAAATAGAAGCCAGTCTCTAATAAGCACCTGTTGTGTTCTGTGATTTAAGCAAATAAACGCCCAAGCTATTCATTTAAGTTTTACAGTAATTGTTCTGTGGGTGTGTGTGTTGCAGCGGTGTACGAGCGGATGCGTGTGGACCAGAGGAAGTTTGGCAAGTCGACGTGGGCTGCAGCCGTGGACCGCATGGAGCGTCTGCAGTACGCTGTCTCCAAGGAAACGCTGCAGCTGATGAGGGCCAAGGAGATCTGCCTGGAGCAGAGAAAACACGGCCTGAAAGAGGAGGTATAACTACTTTATTACAGTACTACAACTAATACTATTACTATACTACTACTGTTATTATAGTAAAAAATAGTCAACTGATGAGGGCCAAGGAGATCTGCATGTAGCAGAGGAAACACTGCCTGAAAGGGGATGTACTGATAATGCTATATAGCATTTTTCAAGATGCTCAAAGCACATTGTATTGGGGAACCACGCCTCATCCACCACCAATGTGTATCACCTACCTGGATGATGCCACAGCCGCCATGTTACACCAGCTATCTTACCACACATCAGGTACACCAGGGATGGGCAACTGGCGGCGGCCCGCGGCTCCCCTTTTGAAGGGCCTTGGATCAATAAAACTAAAAAAACTCAGTCGGGTCTCAACTTACTGTTGCAACTGCGGCCGCTCATGATGAGTTCAGATATTTTGTGGCCCCCACCCCCATCAAAGTTGTCCATCCCTGAGGTACACAATACTCTTGTCTCTCTGTCTGTCTTTCTGACCATCTATGTCTGTCTGTCTCAGATGCAGAGCCTGCAGGAGGGAGAGAATGCTATGCAGCGGTTGGACCAGATGGAGGCGCTGTACTATGAGCTCCAGCTGCAACTCTATGACATCCAGGCTGAGGTGCTGCGCTGTGAGGAACTGCTGCTCAACGCCCAGCTCACCAGCCTCCGCAGACAGATCACGGGTAATACTATACACTTTATACCTGTTACTGCTAAGGAACATTCAGACTAGGAACTGCTGCTCAATGCCCAGCTCACCAGCCTCCGCATACCTATCACTGGTCCATAATAGTACTATACATCTATACCTGTTACTGTTAATGAACCCTTAGACCTGTTCTAACTGCTCAGCTCCAGAGCCTCTGTAGAAACACTACTAGTGAGGTTTACTAACAGTGTAGCTCTCTGTGCCCTTCCCTCCCCAGAGCGGCAGGACGAGGTGGTGTACTATGATGCGTATGAGAGTCCTGATGCAATGCGGGGGGTAGAGGACCCATCGGCCCCTCTTCCCCCACTCAGAGACAAGCTCAGCCAGCTGCAGCAGAGGACCAGACAGCTAGAGGCACGCAGGGGACGCATCACCGCCAAGAAGGCCTACCTTAAAAACAAAAAGGTAATAATCAACCAATCACACGCTTAGCTCTGGACTTAATAACAAATCAAAGCTAAGCAAGCCTACTTGACCAATCACACGCTAACCTCTGGACTTACTAACCAATCAAAGCCATGAAAGCCTACCTCGAGAACAAAAATATGTAGAAAAGTAAAACCAATACTTCAATCCTCCTGGAATGTGTTGGCTGTAATATGTCTTGTTTATCTATAACCAGGAGATCTGTATCATCAACCACAACCAGAAGATACAGCAACGCCAAGGTAGTCAGGACGACCAGATCCATCAAGCACTGCAACAGGTACACTGATATGTTTCATTAGTGTTTGTGTTCATTCAGTGTTACGGGGATGACGGTGAATAGAGTTCCTCATCCTATCTGTGTTTCTCCATAGCGAGGGGAGGAGCAGGAGGAAGATGAGGCGAGGAGTAATGCCAGAATGAGTCTGGATAGATCGAGAACTCTGGACAGACTACGCATTTTCAAACAGGTGAGAGAACACAGTTACCTCTGAATAACACACTCTAAATCTCTCATGTTGAGTACATCTTAGGTTGACGATGTGTTTAGACTCGGGCCATGTTGTAACTGTTGGTTCTCTGTCTGTTGCAGCGTTTCCCTGGTCAGGTGACTTTGAAGTCCAGCAGACTGCATATGTCCCACGGCCACTCCCGGAGGAAAACCACCTCTCCCCTCTCCCCAACGAGGAGGCCTGAGACCCTGGCTGCCAGTGTCCAGACAGACACCGTTGACCTCCCTGAGCTCTCTGTTCCACCCTCTGATGCCTGTGGTTACCAGAGTGTCTCTCTACCCCCGCTAGGGGGCGCCACTGGGCCTCGCTCTGCCGTCTCCTCTCTATCTCCCCTCTCGGCACTCCCCTCCTCTGCCCCTCCACCCCCTCCCCCTCCTCCTCCCCCACCCCCTCCTTCCTTAGAGGACCTCTCCAGTGAGGGAGGGGAGCGGGCTCACCCCACTAGCCCAGTCCGGCAGTCCAAGGCTGGGTCGGATTCAGAGCCTCTCCCCCTGGCTCCCTTCTCCCCACGGTTCTTTGACAGCAGTCAGCTGCAGACAGCCAGGAAGAAACTGAAGAAGACAGCCACGCTGGACTCCTCACAATGGAGGAGAGGTCAGACATGACAACATACTGTTACCTGTATTTTAAAGGAATATATCAAAATTATAACTTGACTAGATTTTTTACATTGTTCCATTCTCCCATCTCTCCAGCGAGTTCTCCCATGGACGAGGTCCTGAACTCCCTGAAGAGAGGCAGCTTCCACCTGCGTAAGGCTGAGCTGAGAGTCCTAGCCCCCGACCCAGACGATGACGAGAGCAACAACATCCTGGCCCAAATCCGGCAGGGCGTCCGGCTGAAGAAGGTGCGGACGCGGCCGGACCAGCAGCGGCACACCAAGGGCTCGTTCCCCCACTCTGCCGACGCTCTGACCCGCTCCATCCACGAAGCCCTGAGACGTATCAAGGAGGCTTCGCCTGAGTCTGAGTCTGAGGACGAAGGCCTGCCCTGCACCGACTGGGAGAACTAGATACGAGATACACGCACCTGGTCGGAGTCTGAGGACGAGGGCCTGCCCGGCACCGACTGGGACTCTGACCTTTGATCTCAGCCACTACCATCTACTATTTCTGGTTCCACATTGACAGACTGAAAGCTGAGTAGAGATGTTTCCTGAGTAGAGATGTTAGCTATTTCTTACTATTTTTTCTTGTCTTTGTAATGGACCACTAGCCTTTGCTCCTGGCTTTCTGTGTTGTGCTGACTCCTCACGCTCTAAATGAAGTCAAGCACTTTGAGAACCTAGTAATGAAAGTCACTATGTAAAAGCAATTCCTTCACTCGATTCCTTCTTTGTCCTGGACCAAGCGGGGGAGTAAGGCTCCTTGTCAGTGCACCGACTGGAGAGCTAGGGTTCTGGGATCCCTTATATAGAATGAACTATAAGAGGTTGGAGAGGTTAGGTTGCTGTGGCGAGTTTGTTTTCCGTTTGACAGGATTGAGTGTTTTCTTTAATGTTAATTCAAACCCCCATAGAATAAGGTGTGTTATTGTTTGGCTGGAACAAAAAGCCTTCACTCACACTGTCCAGCCATCTGCGGGTGAGCGTGGCAACCCCTGGTGTCGAGAAGTCATGATGATATTGTTCTCTGTAAAACCAGTGCCCTTTACAGCCAGCTGATCTGTTCAGCTCTACACAGACATGTGTCATTCATTCCATACTCATATTCCATCATGTAGTGTGTTGTTTCTGTTGATGGTTTTTAAAGTGTGCTTTTACATTCTTTTTAAGGTCGTTTTTATTTAGGAGTGTTTTACTTTTTTTTCACTGCTTTGTTTTCACTGATATAATTTTTCATATGAGTCCACTATTACAGTGGAGTCGCTTCACCTTTTTATCCAGACCTGATTGTTTTATCTGTGTTGTATCTAAGAGCTGTGTCAAAACTGAGACTTTTCCTATAGGAACAATCTCTATGTTTACTGTAATGAATCATGCACTGAGTATGAAGGACATGTTGAAGAGAGAATGATTAACTGAGTATGAAGGACATGTTGAAGAGAGAATGATGAACTGAAGGAGTGTACAACTGCTGTCCAAGTTGACGTTTGGCCAGGTCAAAGGTGGTAGTACTGTATTTTTCCGGTCTTGAAAAACGCTCAGAGATAGAAATGTATGGTGCAGAACTGAAATGATTGTCTGTCATGTAGAATAGGGATCTTGTCAGCTCTATTCATTATATTTCTATCTGTGCGTTTACCTCACTGAATCCACCAGTGGTGTGGTACTGGTAACTAACCACAGTGAGTCAGTGGGCTGAGCATATGGGGCTCATGCTTCATGTTGTGTCTTCATGGCAAGTGGTCAAAACACAATTGTGACTTTCTGCAGCGTCCGCATATCTCTGACTGCGTCTCTGTAGTCTGAAGTGGCTTCTTCTCCTTCATCTGCACTGATCTATAAACGATGGGTAGGTGACAGCAACACAGTGGAATGACTCAGAGGAATTAGCTTTCCACTGTACAGATTTTTTATTGCAGATGAGGAGAAGTCTAGGATTGTAGAGGCAGCCATTTTAGTTATATTGAGATGCCCCCGTCCTAGTCCTGTCTCATGTTCTCTGTAGACATACACAGTACAAACCTGTCTGTTGGAAAATCACTTCCATTTTTCAGTCAGTTTTCTTCCTCATTGTATTTGGGGTCTTTATGTATTTTGTTTATTTTATACCTATCTTTGTTATACATGATCTGTAAAATCTTTTATGTATTATTCATTTCCATCTCTTCTTTCTGTATTTATCTAACACTACAGTTTGACCCATAACCTTTTTGACTTGTATGACCTTATGCATGTGGCTGGCCTGGTCTGATTTGAAGATGAGTCCGTCACTAGATAAGTGCAATATTATATTGAACTGAAAAATGTAATGTATTATAATGTAATGAAGTGTACATCCTGAAAATACATCAGCATGCTTAAAAACATCCTAAGTATTTGAGTAAAAAACGTCATGATTTAAGAAATGGAGTAAGGATTTATAAAGCAATACCATAAAAATTTTAAATGTGCTTAAGATGGGTTTTTTTTCTCAATTTTACTCTGGTCTTTTACTGTCATTGCATTCCTAACTGCTTTATATATCCCAGTTATTTTTTCCCTTCAAAATAAAACCAAGTACCAAAATGTCTTCCTGTCCGGTTCTTTGACTTGGCATCACAGAGCCATTAGAACTCAGTGAACTCAACTCAGCCTTTGGCCAAACCAGACTTTTGTTGGGTCTAGCAAATCTCATGCACGTCCACATGACGTCAACCACAAATAGTAATTCATAAAAATACAGCCAAACAATCTCCTTTTAGGCAGTGAGTGGATGTGATGTTATACAAGAAGCATCAGGACAGGATGGGAACTGAAGCATCAGGACAGGATGGGAACTGAAGCATCAGGACAGGATGGGAACTGAACTGGGTCTCTACAGAGAAGGTACAGAGACAAAACAAGAGCAGCATTCAGATGATAGTGAAAAATGACAACCCTTCATTTTTGTTTTGTTTATTTTACTATAAACTCAATTACAATTGTTTAAGCATGTGGTATAATCAACATTTTAAATTATTACTCAAACGTTATTCCCTTTCAAATAGTACAGATCATAATTGAAACGCTATGATAAACCAACCAACCCAGAAACCCCATTCAGTCTCTCAAAGATACCAGAACCAACAAGCCCTTAAATAGTGTTCTTCAGGTATATAGTTTATTTATTTTTTATACATTATCACAGAGTTTTGGCAATAGTAAACCCCACAAAAGTACCGTAGTTAGCTACCATTGATGCATCTTTGTACCAAAGGCAATGTCAGCCAAATTCATAATCTGTACAGGAAAACATATTTGGCAAAAGGAAAGAAAGTCTCTCTGCAAACCACACCTGCTATGCACAAGGGTCTCTATAAATCCATTTCCTTTATAAATAGTTCAAAAATATTGCCAGTTTTTTCCCACAAAAACCTTGACACCCACATACCAGACATAAAAAGAGTAAGTGAAAATCATTAAGTTCAAACAAAAACCATTTGTTTCATACAATTATCATAATCTGTGGTTATAATATATCTGGAATAATAAATTAAGGGAAAACATAGGAACCAATCAATCATTGCACTTCAAGTCGCAACAGAAACATGGGGAGGGAAAATAAATAAAAATCATTCTGGATTCACCCAAACATTCAATTCCATTTTCACAAGTGCACTATAAATGTGTTATATTAGTATTTGTAATAAAAAAAGTTTATAGAAAGGAAATACTTTTGTAGTAACTGCTGATCCAAACCCCAGCTTCTGGCCTTGGGTTGGCGTTGTTTCCACCTTGTCTCGCCTTACATTTCCAAGAAGAGGAGGAAAATACCTGAAAGTGAGACTAAAATGTGTATTTTTATTCTTGACGCTCTTCTTTGTATTGCTCATTTAATATAGAAGGTTGTCCCAGATCGGTCCTCAATCTGGGACAAAATGCCACATTCTTCTTTAATCTCCATGGAAACGTTGTGATAGGAGGGAGGACATTGGGAGCGTTTAATAACAAGGTCACTGGGAGGTCATCTGTCTGACCTCTGACCCTTAGTCCTAGCCCAGTGTTAGATGGGGCCTCAGAGCGAACGGCCGTAGAGTCCAGTGAAACGCTGTAAGGACCAGTGAGTACGACTGTCTACATCTCCATGACCACATCTAATCTGACTGTCCGTTTGGCTGACAATGATATCTCCATAGTAACCAGAGCAATAATAGTACTGTAGTAACAATAGACTAATAAACTGGTATATGTATAATAGTTAGAAACCAGACCTGAATGCATGGTGGACAACAGCGAAGATTAAACAAATAAACAAAACATCCACCAGCAACTCTGGATGACTGAACTGAACTTTGCACCAAATAAATATAGAAAATGAGGGCTTCCTTTTTCTGTTAGTGTCTGTAATGGAAGAAAAACCCAAAGAAAAATAACCCACCATATTCAACGTCCTCTCCTATGGAATGCTAGCCAGACTTGGCAAAAAAAGCAGAGAGAAAATAGATATTTGAGCAGCTTGTAGTCTGTAATGTGTAAAGAACATCCCACAGGGAGAGAGGAGAAGAGATGGAAGGCAGGGCCCAGGCAAAGCCTCGACAGGACCTCTGAAGTGTGTGTGTAAGGTGTGTGAGTACGTTCATATAGTATACAGGTGTACCAGCAATATGTAGTTAACATAAGCCAAAACTAGAGAATCCAAGTGAGCAAGTCTATCTATTTAGAATTGTGTTAAAGCATGTGGCATAATCAACACATGCTTGGTTATGTGGGTGTTAGTGAAGAATAATGACTGTGTATGTCCTAATAACAGTGTGTGAATATTTTCGTACAGTGCCCTCGTGCACTGACTAGCATTCATCCTCCCGTCACTGTGCTATTATGGTGGTGATGGTGCTCCACTTGGGGACTCTGTCGTAGCACTTCTCGTCTCCTCTAGCTGCTGCTGCCCTCGATGAGTCTGGCCAGGCTGTCTCGGAGCTCTGTCAGCTCAAAGATCTTCCCGTCCAGCAGTTCCAGCAGGGACCGCAGACTCTTCCTGAAGGCCTCGCTCTCCAGCTGACTGCCCTCCAGACGCAGCTCCAACTCCCCCAGCTGGGCCTCCAATGTCTGGTTCCTCTCCTCCTTCTCCTGGGGGTGGAGTAGAGGAGGGGGGAGGTTGTGTTAACGTGTGCACAGCAAAACACACATACAGTGGCTTGCAAAAATATTAATACCCCTTGAATTTCTTCACATTTTATTGTGTTAAAAAGTGGGATTAAATTAGTCCTGTGTGGCTCAGTTGGTAGAGCATGGCACTTGCAACGCCATGGTTGTGGGTTCGATTCCCACGGGGGACCAGTACACATTAAAATGCATCCACTCACTACTGTAAGTCGCTCTGGATAATGTACAAATTGTTAATATATATATATATATATATATATATATATATATATATATATATATATATATATATATATATATATATATATATATATATATGAGTCTAAGACGCTGGGAGGGGGGGGATCCTAAACTGACATATGGCATTGTTTTAAGATGGTCAAACTATGGATCATTTAGCTATTTGATTTTGAATTTTAGGACCCCTTTAGGTATCAATTATTGGATAAAATATAGATTTTGGCCTTTACTAAAGCCCATAGAAATGCATTGAATAACACATTCATTAATGTCAAAAAGTACAATCAAAACATTAATCATAACAAACAAGGTTTTAAAGTGTTTGTCCTAAATAAAAAATCTATACAGTACCACTCAAAAGTTTGGACACACCTAATCATTCAAGGGTTTTTCTTTATTTTTACTATTTTCTACATTGTAGAATAATAGTGAAGACATCCAAATGATGAAAGAACACATATGGAATCATGTAGTAACCAAAAAAGTTTTAAACAAATCAAAATGTCAGATTCTTCAAAGTAGCCACCCTTTGCCTTGATGACAGCTTTGCACACTATTGGCATTCTCTCAACCAGACCCTTTTCTATGAGACTCGAAATTGAGCTCAGGTGCATCCTGTTTCCATTGATCATCCTTGAGATGTTTCTACAACGTGATTGGAGTCTACCTGTGGTAAATTCAATTGATTGGAAATGATTTGGAAAGGCACACACCTGTCTATATAAGGTCCCACAGTTGACATTGCATGTCAGAGCATAAATCAAGCCATGAGGTCGAAGGAATTGTCCGTAAAGCTCAGAGACCGGATTATGTCGAGGCACAGATCTGGGGAATGGTACCAAAACATTTCTGCAGCATTGAAGGTCCCCAAGAACATAGTGGCCTCCATCATTCTTAAATGGAAGAAGTTTGGAACCACCAAGACCCTTCCGAGAGCTGGCCGCCCAGCCAAACTGAGCAATCAGGGGAGAAGGGCCTTGGTCATGGAGGTGACCAAGAACCCGATGGTCACTCTGACAGAGCTCCAGAGTTCCTTTGTGGAGATGGGAGAACCTTCCAGAAGGACAACCATCTCTGCAGCACTCCACCAATCAGGCCTTTATGGTAGAGTTGCCAGACAGAAGCCACTCCTCAGTAAAAGGCACATGACAGCCCTCAGAGTTTGCACCTAAAGGACTCTAAGACCATGAGAAACAAGATTCTCTGGTCTGATGAAACCAAGATTGAACTCTTTGGCCTGAATGCCAAGCGCCACGTCTTGTGGAAACGTGGCACCATCCCTACGGTGAAGCATGGTGGTGGCAGCATCATGCTGTCGGGATGTTTTTCAGCGGCAGGGACTGGGAGACTAGTCAGAATCGAGGGAAAGATGAACGGATCAAAGTACAGAGAGATCCTTGATGAAAACCGGCTCCAGAGCACTCAGGACCTCAGACTGGGGCGAAGGTTCACGTTCCAACAGGACAATGACCCTAAGCACACAGCCAAGACAATTCAGGAGTGGCTTCGGGACAAGTCTGTGAACATCCTTGAGTGGCATAGCCAGAGCCCGGACTTAAACCTAACTTAAATCTAACATTTCTGGAGAGACCTGAAAATAGCTGTGCAGCGACGCTCCCCATCCAACCTGACAGAGCTTGAGAGGATCTGCAGAGAAGAATGGAAGAAACTCCCCAAATACTGGTGTGCCAAGCTTGTAGTGTCATACCCAAGAAGACTCAAAGCTGTAATCGCTGCCAAAGGTGCTTCAACAAAGTACTGAGTAAAGGGTCTGAATACTTATGTAAAATGTGATATTCCCGTTAGTTATTTTTACTAAATATGCAAAACTTTCTAAAAACCTGTTTTTGCTTTGTTATTTTGGGGTATTGTGTGTAGATACAGGTCCCCTGTAGCTCAGTTGGTAGAGCATGACACTTGCAACGCCAGGGTTGTGGGTTCGTTTCCCACGGGGGGCCAGTATGAAAATGTATGCATTCACTAACTGTAAATCGCTCTGGATAAGAGCGTCTGCTAAATGACTAAAATATAAAAAGGTATTCATCCCCCTTGGCGTTTTTCCTATTTTGTTGCATTACAACCTGTAATTTAAATTGATTTTTTATTTGGATTTCATGTAACGGACATACACAGAAATAGTCCAAATTGGTGAAGTGAAAAATATAACTTGTTTCAAAAAATGCAAAATAAATAAATAAATAACGGAAGAGTGGTGCATGCATATGTATTCACCCCCTTTGCTATAAAGCCCCTAAATAAGATCTGGTGCAACCAATTACTTTCAGAAGTCACATAATTAGTTAAATAAAGTCCACCTGTGTGCAATCTAAGTGCCACATGATCTCAGTATATACAGTGAGGGAAAAAAGTATTTGATCCCCTGCTGATTTTGTACGTTTGCCCACTGACAAAGACATGATCAGTCTATAATTTTAATGGTAGGTTTATTTGAACAGTGAGAGACAGAATAACAAACAAAAAATCCAGAAAGACGCATGTCAAAAATTTAATAAATTGATTTGCATTTTAATGAGGGAAATAAGTATTTGACCCCTCTGCAAAACATGACTTAGTACTTGGTGGCAAAACCCTTGTTGGCAATCACAGAGGTCAGACGTTTCTTGTAGTTGGCCACCAGGTTTGCACACATCTCAGGAGGGATTTTGTCCCACTCCTCTTTGCAGATCTTTTCCAAGTCATTTAGGTTTCGAGGCTGACGTTTGGCAACTCGAACCTTCAGCTCCCTCCACAGATTTTCTATGGGATTAAGGTCTGGAGACTGGCTAGGCCACTCCAGGACCTTAATGTGCTTCTTCTTGAGCCACTCCTTTGTTGCCTTGGCCGTGTGTTTTGGGTCATTGTCATGCTGGAATACCCATCCACAACCTATTTTCAATGCCCTGGCTGAGGGAAGGAGGTTCTCACCCAAGATTTGACGGTACATGGCCCCGTCCATCGTCCCTTTGATGCGGTGAAGTTGTCCTGTCCTCTTAGCAGAAAAACACCCCCAAAGCATAATATTTCCACCTCCATGTTTGACGGTGGGGATGGTGTTCTTGGGGTCATAGGCAGCATTCCTCCTCCTCCAAACACGGCGAGTTGAGTTGATGCCAAAGAGCTCGATTATGGTCTCATCTGACCACAACTCTTTCACCCAGTTCTCCTCTGAATCATTCAGATGTTCATTGGCAAACTTCAGACGGGCCTGTATATGTGCTTTCTTGAGCAGGGGGACCTTGCGGGCGCTGCAGGATTTCAGTCCTTCACGGCGTAGTGTGTTACCAATTGTTTTCTTGGTGACTATGGTCCCAGCTGCCTTGAGATCATTGACAAGATCCTCCTGTGTAGTTCTGGGCTGATTCCTCACCGTTCTCATGATCATTGCAACTCCACGAGGTGAGATCTTGCATGGAGCCCCAGGCCGAGGGAGATTGACAGTTCTTTTGTGTTTCTTCCATTTGCGAATAATCACACCAACTGTTGTCACCTTCTCACCAAGCTGCTTGGCGATGGTCTTGTAGTCCATTCCAGCCTTGTGTAGGTCTACAATTTTGTCCCTGACATCCTTGGAAAGCTCTTTGGTCTTGGCCATGGTGGAGAGTTTGGAATCTGATTGATTGGTTGCTTCTGTGGACAGGTGTCTTTTATACAGGTAACAAACTGAGATTAGGAGCACTCCCTTTAAGAGTGTGCTCCTAATTTCAGCTCGTTACCTGTATAAAAGACACCTGGGAGCCAGAAATCTTTCTGATTGAGAGGGGGTCAAATACTTATTTCCCTCATTAAAATGCAAATCAATATATAACATTTTTGACATGCGTTTTTCTGGATTTTTGTTGTTGTTATTCTGTCTCTACCTGTTCAAATAAACCTACTATTAAAATTATAGACTGATAATTTCTTTGTCAGTGGGCAAACGTACAAAATCAGCAGGGGATAAAACAAAAACACTAAGCAAAGGGCACCACCAAGCAAGCGGCACCATGAAGACCAAGGAGCTCTCCAAACAGGTCAGGGACAAAGTTGTGGAGAAGTACAGATCAGGGTTGGGTTATAAAAAAATATCTGAAACTTTTAACATCCCATGGAGCACCATTAAATCCATTATTAAAAAATGGAAAGAATACGGCACAACAAAAAATCTGCCAAGAGAGGGCCGCCTACCAAAACTCACGGATCAGGCAAGGAGGGCATTAATCAGAGAGGCAACAGAGACCAAAGATAACCTTGAAGGAGCTGCAAAGCTCCACAGAGGAGATTGGAGTATCTGTCCATAGGACCACTTTAAGCCGTACACTCCACAGAGCTGGGCTTTACGGAAGAATGGACAGAAAAAAGCCATTGCTTAAAGAAAAAAATAAGCAAACACATTTGGTGTTCGCCAAAAGGCATGTGGGAGACTCCCCAAACATATGGAAAAAGGTACTCTAGTCAGATGAGACTAAAATTGAGCTTTTTGGCCATCAAGGAAAACGATACGTCTGGCGCAAACCCAACACCTCTCATCACCCAGAGAACACCATCCCCACAGTGAAGCATGGTGGTGGCAGCATCATGCTGTGGGGATGTTTTTCCATCGGCAGGGACTGGGAAACTGGTCAGAATTGAAGGAATGATGGATGTCGTTAAATACAGGGAAATTCTTGAGGGAAACCTGTTCACCTTCCAGCAGGACAATGACCCTAAGCATACTGCTAAAGCAACACTCGAGTGGTTTAAGGGGAAACATTTAAATGTTTTGGAATGGCCTAGTCAAAGCCCAGACCTCAATCCAATTGAGAATCTGTGGTATGACTTAAAGATTTCAGCTGGTGTACAGCACCCATCCAACTTGAAGGAGCTGGAGCAGTTTTGCCTTGAAGAATGGGCAAAAATCCCAGTGGCTAGATGTGCCAAGCTTATAGAGACATACCCCAAGAGACTTGCAGCTGTAATTGCTGCAAAAGGTGGCTCTACAAAGTATTGACTTTGGGGGGATGAATAGTTATGCACGCTCAAGTTTTCAGTTTTTTGTCTTATTTCTTGTTTGTTTCACCCCAAAACATATTTTGCATCTTCAAAGTGGTAGGCATGTTGTGTAAATCAAATGATACAAACCCCCAAAAAATATATTTTATTTCCAGGTTGTAAGGTAACAAAATAGGAAAAATGCCTAGGGGGGTGAATACTTTCGCAAGCCACTGTATGAAGTGGAAAAAACTATTTCATCAATTTTAGAATAAGGCTGTAACGTAACCAAATGTGAAAAAAGTCAAGGGGTCTGAATACTTACCGAATGCACGGTAAACTGACATTTTTATAGGAATTGTTTTATGTAACTTAGATTGACGCACCAGTGCGTCAATTGACTCTAGGGGGTTGTCACTTTTTTGTCAACAATCTACACAAAATACTATGTAAAGTCAAAGTGGAAGATTTTTTACTTATTATTTAGATTAATATAAACTAAATAACTAAAATCTCCCTGAGTCAATATATGTTATAAACACCTTTTGCACCTTTCCCGAGTGGCGCAGTGGTCTAAGGCACTGCATCGCAGTGCTAGCTGTGCCACTAGAGATCCTGGTTCGAATCCAGGCTCTGTCGTAGCCGGCCGCGACCTGGAGACCCATGGGGCGGCGCACAATTGGCCCAGCGTCGTCCTGGGTAGGGGAGGGAATGGCCGGCAGGGATGTAGCTCAGTTGGTAGAGCATGGCTTTTGCAACGCCAGGGTTGTGGGTTCGATTCCCACGGGGGGCCAGTATGACAAAAAATATAAATAAAATGTATGCACTCACTAACTCCATATACAGTGGGGAGAACAAGTATTTGATACACTGCCGATTTTGCAGGTTTTCCTACTTACAAAGCATGTAGTGGTCTGTAATTTTTATCATAGGTACACTTCAACTGTGAGAGACGGAATCTAAAACAAAAATCC